ATTCTCATCTTCGAACTCGATCGAGATATTGTTGAGATTAAAGTGTGCAGAAAATTTCATCGCGATCGGACTCTCCTTTCAAAAGTTATCGTGTATACGGCCGGACACACTGACCGATTCTAGAGTGTATGAACTTTTTGAGTACACAAAAAAGGTAACATACAGATGTATGACTAATAGTAGAACAAATTCAATTATTTTATTCGATGAAAAGTGTGCTACACAACTAATAAAATAATAGTAACAACAGATCATACTACTATTCAATTGGATATAGTTGATGAAGTTGATAAATAAACAGGAGGAATTATAAGAAAAACTAGTAGATATATATTCTCACTGATTCAGTTCGAATGATGACAATAGCTGATGATTCAATTGCACAATGAGTTAGAAAAGATGAATTTATTAATAAAGAATTTTTTTGTTAAAGATACCAAATAAAGGTAAGCATCCATTAAAAAAAAAGACAAAAAGCTTTTCTTCAATTTTGGATTTTTTTTTTTTGTGATCTTTAGTTTTTTCCTTAGACAACAATATGAGAGAAAGATAGAATATAGACAAAAAGGTAACTATTGAAAAATTTTCTATTGTTAATATTAATGTTTTGATCTTAAATATAATGTATATATTTCTTTATTTCACTTGTCACGTGTAATCAATGAAATAAACTAACTTCATTTCTTTCTCTATATTAGTAAAGAAAAAAAAAAGAAGAAGAACAATGCAAATGTTTGTTTTCCAATGAGTGTATGTATGTTGTTACTTTTCTTTTGCATGTTATGTATACTAGAAGTTATTATCACATATACATTGAAATTTAAGAAATAACAGACAGACAGAGAAAGAGAGAGAGAAAGTCAAGAAACAAATACGTCCATCACCATTCTCGTCGTCTCTCTCTGCTCTCTGTCTATTCATTCAGTTAGTTAAATAGGCAGCGATTAAAACAAAAAATTTTGTCTAACATTATCATTACAACATATATACAAGAAATTATCTATTGAAACTAGTAAGTATGATTTATTCATTTATTTATAAAATAAATATGAAAATAACTATTTTTTATTTATTTACTTATTTTTAGATATTGAATAAAAATGTCTCTATCAAAACAATCAATTCAATCATATTATATGGAATTTTTACGTTGTGCTAAATGTTCACATGATTTTCAATATGAAAATCCATTATATTATCCAATAACATTACCTATATGTGGTCATACAATGTGTAAACAATGTATTAATATAATACGTAATGAAACAAAATGTCCACAAGATCAAATTTCATTTGAAATAAATCATACACCAATTGATCAATTACCAATAAATTATCCATTATTAATGATTTTTTATGATTCATCAAATGTAAATATTTTTATATTAATTATTAAACATTAAGAAAAAAAATTTTTTCCTTTTTTTTTTTTTTTTATTTAAATATAGTTACCAAAAGATAAAGAACAACGTCATGGTCAATGTCCATCTTATATGAAACTTGATATAATAACAAAATTAGACTTTGGAACTATAGAAAAATTTATTGGTGAAATATCACTTATGTTTAAACGAATAAGTAAGAATAAAAGACAAAAAAGTTTATGTCATGGTTTTTTCTTTTTTAATGTAACTATTTTTTAGTTAATGATAGAGGATGTCAATTAATATTCAGTCGTTCAACAATACGAAAAATATTTAATTTATTAAATTTTCAATTTATTGATTGTAAAAATCAGTTAAAAATTCTGAAAGCAATAAATAATCTTGCTAAATATATATCAATTGATTTTATTGTTCATTATCAAGATCATCAACAATTAATTCAATATATTCAATCAACTATTGGTCTACGATTTGAACAAATTGTTCAGCCAGGTTTAAGTTTTTTCTTTTTTTCAAATTCTTTTTTTTTTATCGTAATAATTGTTTATTAATTTAGATATGATAGAAAAAATCTTAAAAGTAATAACATTAGTTAATGAAAAACGTCCAGCATCATCAGAAAAGAATTTAGTACACGTGGTTTTACATGAAATTTGTGGTAATAATCCATATAGTATTATAGAAAATGTTCAATTTATTGTTGGTGTACTTTCAAAGGCATGTTGTTTTGACGTAAGTATATAACAATAACAAAAAAGATAAAGAACAGAAATGATTCTATCAAAAGTTTTTTTTTTTCTATTAGAAAAAACAAAATGGTAAATTATGGTCATCATTATACGTCAAATCTAAATATGAAAATTACGAAAATCTTCGTGAAGTTTTTGATTCTACATTTATTCGTATGATTATAGAAAAAGGTAAATAATTTTTTTTTTTTGTTGAAGTTCTATTTAATAATAAATATATTTATTTGTTAAAGGATTCATCATGTCATCAGAACAATTGTCATCATTATTATATGGTGATATAAAATTTGAAGTAGCAATTAATACGATAATTAAAAAATTTTTAACATCTGATACATGTACAATATTTATTCAAAAACTTTTACAAATGTTAATAATAGCTGGTGTTGAACAAAACGATTTATTAAAGTTTGAAACAAATTTTAAATATTTATTAAAAATTGATTTAAATATAAATAATAATAATAATAAAGATAATCGTTCATCATGGTTGAATATTGCATTTGTAATCCAGCAATTTCGTGAAGGCTTAGAATGCTTACCTTATTTTAATCAGTAAAAAACATAAACAAATCTTTATAATTATGATCAATAAAATGATCTATTACCAATTAAAGGTATATGGTTAACATTATATTCATAATTAATAGATTGTTTTATGTTTAGATGGACATGGCACAACATAATCAGGTCAAACAAATTTTATTAATAGTTTTTTTTTTCTTTTGTTGGCAGCGACTTTGTGTTACTAGGAAATAAGAATAACCTTATTCTTCTTTTTTATTTTTTTTTTGTATTATGTTTTTTTTCTTTAACAATTATGCCAATACCAAAGTTTGCTTGTCCACTTTTCTTTGTCTTTTTTTTTTGTATGTGCACATTTTAAAAAAGTCTTCAATAAAGACACAATCATAATTTCATGATTTTTTTTCTTATGTTTTTTTTTCTCTTCTTTGACTTTTTTTTTCTTTGTTCATCTAAGTCAATAAAATATACGTAAAAAATAAAATAAATCAAGAGCATAGAATATTTTTTTATTTAAACTTAATATAATCAAATAGGATGTAATACAACAATATCAATATGCATTGCATGTAGATCAATAATTGATTCATATTTTAGTCTAATATTTTTTTTATAACATCGATATTTAGGAAAAAAATAATTAAATAAATAAATAAATAATTTATTTGTTATTTTTATTAATAGTAATAAATAGTTTCCCAATGTAAGTCATTCATGAATCTCAATTGATATATAAATAATTTGATCAATAGCATAAATAAGTTCTAGTGATGGAATTATTATAACTAAAAAATCAATGTATATTTACTATTTTAAATAGAACAAAAGAAAAAGAAATAACAAAAACACATTACATGACATATTTTATTTCATCACTTATTTCATCTGTTGTAAATGACAACAAAATAAAGAATTATTAAAACAAAGAAAGTACATATTAGACTAAAAAATAAATCGATTATTGATCTAAATGCACATTGATATTATTGCATGACATTTTGTTTGATTATATTAAGAGTAAAATTGTATGTAATAAAAAAAAAAAAAGACGAAAAAAGGATAAAATTATACCTTCTTTTTGTTTTATTTTTTTATTTTCATTATATTGATTGAAATTGAAAGAAATGTTTTGCATATATATATATATATATACCTAGATCTCATTTCTATTATTTATATAATAACAAGATAGCGTTCATCCCATGGATTCATTGACCCTTTTCTGAAAGAAAATCTAGAAAATTTCTGAAGAATTCGTTGATATATGTATTAACACAAATTAAATTGATCTGCTGTTGTAGTATCATTAATATTATTATTATTTTTTTCATGGTGTTTTAAGTAAAAGTGTTGTTAATTCAGATACAATAATAAGATCATCAGGTGATGTTAAAGAATTTAATTCGTTTTTTAAGATCATTTGTATGACGTCTAAGTGCTGCAACATGTTGACTTATTGATGAACTAATACGTTTTTCTGTTGATAATGTTTCTTGTAATTCACGTATCCATGATTCATATTGACCAATTATTTCATTACGTTAGGAGGATTTCGTAATTGTTCAAGCATTGCCCATCAAACTGTTGCTTGCCGAACATTAGCATCATATTCAAGTGATTGAGCAGTACCAGTTGCTGTACCATATGTACGTTCATAACCAGGTTGATTACAATAAGGTTCAGGTATCAATATAAGAGATTGAATAGAGACGAGAACTTGTAAAAATGTTGATGTTACATTCCATTTTTCTTCTGGTCGACCATGCCATGTATTTAATATACTTAAACGTACTTTTTCATCATTATATAAATTAGGATTAAATCTAACTGTATGAATTTCTGTTGTTTCTAAATTACATGATGGTGGTGTTGTTGGATATTCATTTGAAAAATGAACATCAAATATAAAACATCCATTTAAATATGATGTACCATCAGGACCTGTTATTAATATTTCTATGATATCCATACGATTTTCATCTTAACGTAGAAATATTATTGAACTAAATGATAATGGTAATGATGTTGATATAGTTATTCGTTCCTGTGCTAAACGTTTTATTCTTTGCATTGAATTTATTGTTCATGCATCACGTACAATATCGTTCCTAATGATATTTAAGTTTTTTATTAAATAATGTTTTATTATCATTTGTTTCATTTTCAATTGTTATTGGATATCTACTAAATTGTAATAATTTCATTATTTGACAATAAAACTCTTCTAATATTATTAATTCATCTTTATTATTTATATTTAATTGTTTATAACAGTTATTTTCAATTTGTTTCTCTTGTTTTATATTATCATAAACGTTGTTTTAATCCAATAGAAAATAAATTTAATTGTTCATCATCATCAATTTGTATCATTGATCTATATGTTTGTAGACATTGTAAAAGATTATCAAGTAAATATTCAATATAACTTGTATGATAACATTTAATTTTTTTATTTTTCATTATTTAATAAACAATTAACTGAACGCAAAGAATAACGATATATATCCCTTGTTTTAATATATCTAATATAGAATCATTACGTAAATATGATTCAAGCACTGGTATAAGACATGATGTATTTATTATCTCAATTAAATTATCATCAAGTAATTCGTTCAGATAATTTATTTGAAAATATTGAATAGAATATATCAAATAAATAAATAACCTGTTCTTCATGTAATATTTGTATTTGAATTATTCCATCAGGTTTCTATTGTGAATGTGTTAAACTTGTATCAAAACCTGTACCTTTAGGCCAAAAATTAGAATTTGTATTATTATTATTATTATTATTAATTGTATTTAATTGTTGTACTGTTGTTGTTGTTGATTCAATTTGTTCAATATCATCTTTATAATATTCGTCATCATTATCATCAATTACTTAGGGTTGACCAAAAGTTCGTAGAACGGCACTGAAAAGATATTGTCGGATAAGATAATTTATTCAAAGATGAAAAGTCAAATATGGCATATTGTAGAGTTTTCTGAGGCGCGTCGAATGATATATAGTTCATCCTATTTTTATAAGACTT